AGATGTCAAACATTTTGATGGGCGATACAGGGGTAAATAAACACTTTGACCTTAGGCTTTGTTTTAGTCCCTCGATAGTCAATTTGAGTAATTAATAACGAGTGAGTTACTGGCAAAGTTTGTAGTGGGATTTGTTTATAACTAGACTATTTGGAAGAAATTGTGTGATTATATTAAATTATGTGGCCTTCTCTTGTGTTTACAGGAATTTACGATTCGTTCATGGACTTACAATAGAAGAAAGAACAGAACATTGGCTCCATTTCACCAGATGACTAAATTGTGTTATAATGTTTTTCGAACTGTGTTTTAATAGCATAGTCAAAATATATGATTTAACCACGTTAACTAAACCCCTGTAATCTTGTTCAAAATATTATGTCTCATGATGCGGAAGGGAATCAAAGGGAATCAAATACGTTAGAAGTCGCTCGATAGTCAATTTGAGTAATTTGATGATTCTAGTCTATGATCTCTATGTTACAATGAAAATTGATACAAAACAAGATATACATGTACTACAAGTTCTGTTCCAACTTGAATCAATCTGCTTGAATGAAGTCTGTGAATCAAATAACAGATCGTTACTCTTCTTTTTCCGTCCCTCCGTAAGTCACATTTGTCTAAAAACACAAAAGGAAACTATAAAACAATAACAGGATTAGATTCATTCAAGATTTGGAAACTTTTAAGATTTCTAAATATTCTGTCTTCAAGTGTTTCCCATGACACGCGAGCGACACGCGAGCGACACGCGAGTGACACGCAAGCGACACGCGAAAAAACAAACCATCAGCGTTCAGCCGTGGTGCCCTTTTGACCACAGCGTAATGATCACGTAATGATGTTGTTTTACTTCGCACGGGGGACGCGTGAAAAGAAATTTACCTCAACGAATTTTTCCAAAGTAAAAAAATTATAGTCTGGCTTAGAGCAGTGACAATAAATGGAACATCCATATACCGAGCTTGCTCCAGTATATTCATCATTCTGTCAGACTTTGATAAAATATTCTCATAGCTTACAGAATTCTTACCTTCTCAGTCAAACCTCTCGTCGTGTTCTTCTGGCTGCCGGATTTCGTTTGAATCAAATCTTCTCCTGATTTCTCTCAGCAATGATTCTCTATTTTCCCAGATCGTTAAAATCGCTACCGAGGAAACTCCACCAACAGCAAAGAACAACACACCACGCAAAAATTGATTAGAGAAAAAAGCCATTTCTACTGAATTCGTCTTGTTATAGGCCAATTACACCACAAGCTTTGCTAGTAAAACACGCTCAGCGCCAACCAAACCTTATATATAGAATACCCCGACACAGGAACTTTCGTGTGACGTCCTGAAGTGGTACCGTGGAAAGTATGAACCCATGACCTTTAATTCTTCCAACTAATCTAGTTATAAGACCACAAACCACAAACTTTGCGTGTCGGTACTAATCATTCAAATTGACAATCGATTCAGGTATTTCAAACACGCACAGTCACTTGACCTCGAGCGACTTCTAACGTATTTGATTCCCTTTGATTCCCTTCCGCATCATGAGACATAATATTTTGAACAAGATTACAGGGGTTTAGTTAACGTGGTTAAATCATATATTTTGACTATGCTATTAAAACACAGTTCGAAAAACATTATAACACAATTTAGTCATCTGGTGAAATGGAGCCAATGTTCTGTTCTTTCTTCTATTGTAAGTCCATGAACGAATCGTAAATTCCTGTAAACACAAGAGAAGACCACATAATTTCATATAAACACATAATTTCTTCCAAATAGTCTAGTTATAAACAAATCACATCACAAACTTTGCCAGTAACTCACACTCGTTATTAATTACTCAAATTGGCCATCGAGGGAATGAAACAAAGCCTAAGATCAAAGTGTTTATTTACTACTGTATCGCCCATCAAAATGTTTGACATTTACAAACCAAAATATCGATACAGAACCACAGGAATGTGCGTTTTAAGCATTTTGGCCCACCGTTTTCAAACAGCCATTCTTATGTTAATTATATAAGACAGATTACGGTGGACTATAAATAGTAACATTTCAGCACAGTTGTCGGAATCATTGCAACACGCTGTTATAGATTATTCAATTGAAACCGCAGATCGTAGGACCGTCGATTCCCTTCCGCATAATATGGCACAATATTGTTAACAAGATCGCAAGGGTTCAGTTTTACACGGTTAAATCATATATTTAGACTTGATCGCAATATCAATTTCTTCTTAATTCGTCTTGTTATAGGCAAATCACACCACAAGCTTTGCTAGTAAAACACGCTCAGCGCCAAGCAACCTTTTTGCGTAGAATACCTCGACACAGGTACTTTCATGTGACGTTACTGACGTAATACGGTGGGGAGTTTGAACCCATGACCTTTCTTCCAACTAGTCTAGTTATAAACAAATCACACCACAAACTTTGCCTGTAAAACACACTCGGCACTAATCACTCAAATTGACTATCGCCGGGCTGAAACAAAACCTAAGTTCAAAGTGTTTATTTACCACTGTACGGCTTACAGTGGCCACAGCCAATCAGCTGCAAGGGTTATGCATCTTGACCGCTATTTTTGATACCTGAAAAGCAATACAGTAAAGGAATGTGCTTTTCCACATTTTGACACTTCGTTTCCACGTGGTCATTCTTATGTTAATACAGTCGTGGGCTATCGATATTAAAATATTATTAAAAGTTAAAGTTGCTCAAAAACCTTTTCAGACTTTGGGGCATATTTTCGCCAAACCTAAGGATCCTGTCACGAAAGAACAACGAACCGACGCCATTTATTCTATTCCTTGCAATGACTGTGACAACGAATACATCGGACAGACCAAACGTCAGCGGTTTTTCTTTGCAAAAAGGAAAATTCAGCGTTATCGGAGCATACATGCCTAACCAACCATGCAATTGGGTGAGATAATTCTAAAATTATCACCACTAATCGGCGTTACCATCAGCGCCTTTGTTTGGAGGCTTGGCATATTAACTCCGCCCACGCTCCTTTAAATCGTGACGATGGCGGTTTGCTTCCTGACACCTATTTACACCTCGTCAGAAAAAAGGCCGCTAATTAGTGATCATATAAAAGGACCTCTTGTTGCAGCGTTTAGATCACCCATGATGAAGGCACTAGACAGGAGTGTCGAAACGTTGGGTCTATGAATCGTAACTTCTTCGGTTACATTCATTAAATCTGCAAACCAGAGTAGCGTCAAACTATGTGTGATATCTTCAGTTGTTAGAACTGTTGAAAGACTCCAACAGCCTCGCTTAAATGTGTTTTAAAAAAACGTTCCTCAAAAGTGTATCAGCTTGTCTCTACAATCAATCCCAGAAACCGAAATCACGATTCTTCCCTTTTTATTTAGGATGAGACCATTCAATAACAGATCACGTACACTTGTGAAACGTTCCACTGTTGAGTGATTCTACTTTAATGCTATAAGTCGCTTGCTTCACCTTGCCTCGCGGATGGATCAAATTCTTAAACCTCTTAGTAAAAAGATCGATCTTAAAGTTTATTAAAGATCAGTTTAAAGTATTTCAAACACGCACAAACAGTCACTTGACCTCGAGCGACTTCTAAGCAAACACTGTAGTGCATGTGCATTGGCTGGAAAGCTGTTTACACACAAGACATTGTTGACGCGGATAAGTTCCGCACTTTTGAGCTGCACTGGTCAGCCTTTTGGTAGTGCTTTTTTTTCATTTGTAAATCTTCAGGTAATAACTAAAAATTTGTTCTATTTACACTTTGTTAAAACATGTACAAAGAGATAGTAAATGTTAAATAGATCATTGTATCGTAGGATTTTTAAAAACTTGCAATTATATTGCGTTCTGTTTTTGTACTTGGTCACGACGCTCACGACAGGTCTGACCGCACTGTTTTTTTTCGCAGGTGTAAATAGTTTTCTTTAAAAAGTCTTTTTTTGTAAGGATTTTAGTCAAATATATTGATGTGTGAGTGAAAGGCTAACAATTATTTAAAAAAAAAATCAACACCGAAAGAGAATTCGCTCTTGGTTCTTCTGTAATGGGGGAATGGCATTGTTTTTTCGACGTTTGGGGGAATCCCCGAAAAGTGAACTCAGCCGTTGATTGGTTTAAAAGATGTCAATTTATTCTATTTGATTCCATAACTTCCTCTGAAAGTGAAATGTTACACATGGACGGTTTTCAAAGTAGAGAAGCTAGAAACTTTACTTCAACCGTGTGTTCTCAACCTAAAAAACATATGCCCTATGATTTACCAACAGATGAATTCAAGCATCTAAAAGCCTACGCAGTATGAAAATAATTTAGTTTCGTTTTCGTTTTACGTAACATCTCCACGAACGCTTCATGTAAAGATGAACAAAATAGCCATGCGCAATGGGCTTGCAATATAAAAATCTTTAATACGACTTGCTCTCGGCATTTGTTTGGGAAATGTTTGTCTAAGAACGTTGAAAGCAGCGGTATGTTTATCAGTCGCAGTCAACATTGAATCGAATTTCGTGTGCTTGCGTGGTAACTATTCAGTAACAAATTGACTCGATGAGCAACAAAGATAATCACACCGATGACGACTTGAAAAACAGTAATTGTGTAGTCGAGTTATTCACCTGACATTTTAATCTCAAGGGTTTTGATCGAAATCCTAAAAAATACAACAGCAAACGAGTACTTGTGCTGTTTGTTGAAGAGCAAAGTCTAGAATAAAAAGTAAACCAATGTAACTGGCGTGACATTCAAACGAGCACTCAAATTATCATGTAAATGATCTGTAGTGAAAAATAGGGAAATCCCTAACATGGCACTCGTAGACGAGACTGAAGTCGGTCAATCGCAATTTATTTCGGTAATAGTAATATCATAAACTTCGCAACTTACGAGGGCATTTAAAGAAAATGGGTCAACAGTACCTCCAAAGAGGTAAATCTTTTTTTCAAGGCACACTCCACAAGCGCACCCGCGCTGTTCGCCTATCGGAGCCATCTATGTCCATACGTTCAACTTTGGATCATAACGATCCACATCAGAGAGGAAACCATCGTCGGCCAAGCCACCAATGCAGTACAAATAGTGAGTGTCTGACACGAGACAAACAGAGGACTTGCGTCTCTTTAGAGGTGCAACTACAGTCCAAGAGTTTGTCGAGGGGTTGTACCTCTGCGCAGTGTCACAACGCCTACCACCGTGCTCGCTGCTGAACGCAATCCCGCCAGTGACGTACAGCAGCCCTTGTAAGGTAGCCGCACCCATTAATGTCACTCTCTGAGGCAGTGGTGCTACAAAGCCCCATGAGTTTGTGCGCGGGTCATATCGTTCTACGCTGTTGTAGACCGAGTCTTCTCCTTTACCGCCGATGGCATAAACATATCCCCAGCAGGAAGCCAAACCATGGCGAAACCGTCTGTTAAGCATGGGTGCCAACTCGTACCAGGTTTTCGTAGCCGGAACATAACACACAGTCAAGTTGCGAATGCGTTCATCTGGCGACAGGCCACCGCATGTGATGATTGCATCTTCATGAGTCTGAAGACAAGTTCTTGGTTTTTGTCAGGAGATCTGTTGTCCAGAGAACAAGGCACGCCAGCGGATTTGGTCCATTAATATTTCCTTACACTCGCCATTTGCCTGCACTAGTTCATGGCACATAAACTTTGTGTACAAATATTGATCGGATATGCTGCTCAGTCGAACGAGTCTAAACAGCTCCGCAAAATGTTGCTCCTCCTCGTCTTGATTTTGCGTGATCCATTCTAGAATGAATTCAAAGACTTCTTCTTCGGTTCCAGTTACTAAGTCGTCGCCTGAAATAAGATCCTTTATTTGATGGCAGGAAATTTGCACGAATTCCTTGGACTTGCCGACCGTCGCGAAGTTCTGCTTGATTAATTCGCCAGCGTATGTTTTCAATTCCTTGCAATCGTATTTCTCAGCATATAGAAAGGTAGCAACGCAATTTGTGGCCGACATATGCCGCTCCTTAAACTTGCAAGCGATGTTTTTTAGACGGGGAAGTAGTAAGTAGTTCGCGGATGCGATCAGATCATCGACATTCGCCTCGCTCATTCATTCATTCAGAGCTCATTCATCGCCGAAACTGAAATTCCTTCGATATTTACGATTGACGCCGATTTTTCTTTCATATACTTGGTAAGTAGACCTTGAAAAAATTGGCTACTGGCTGCCAAAACACATCGGTGAGCGGGGAATGTTTTTCCTTCCACTCACAGAGTAACATCTGTCAATTCGCCTTCTTTGCGGGCATTGTCGAGTAACCGCATCATATCCCAGTAGTACGGACTCTTAGCTGTGTTGCGTGGTTCTTTTGAGGCATTTTCGGCCATGTTTGCGCAAGAAAGACGCTTGTTTGCTTGACTACGAGTCTTTCTGACGAGACAGATCACAACGCACCTTTGACAAAGTGGGTTATGTATTCGTTGAGGTCCAAACCAGCGCGTGACATAATTTAGTGTCATTGATATACATGCTTAATTTATACAAAATCTGATAGGTCAGGAAAAAATAGTTTGTTTTGTTTAGATTAGTGTTATGCTAAGACAACATTAATGGCACGATGTCGCTAAGATATTTGTATTCCGGAAAGTTATGTTATATGAAGAATTCCACTCAGAATCTAATCTAGTAAAAGAACATATTGTGCTTCGATCGGAGGAATAAAACTAAATAACACTGAGAATAAGGAACAAAAATTCACAGTTTCGAAGCCATTTTAACTGGCGGTTGTAGTTTTGAGGTAAGATGCAAAAAAGGCGACAGAAGATAGAAGACCCTATTAGAATTGCTTCGCACTTTCATGTACACAGTAGGATCAGATAAATCATGAGCATTATGCTTTTAAGCGTCACCACTAAAAACACGGTATTATGACCAAAATTATGCCCAAAGTTTTTATTAGGCTTAATTAGGAGACTATATTCTCTTGGTTCAATTAAATACACCCCCCCACCCCATTCCCCCATTCCCCCCTCCCCCCCCCCCCCTTCAGTTTCTACCACCAACAAGGTAAAACTTGCTAGGAATAAAAGGCATACTGAAGTTCAGAAAATAACATTTTTATCGTGATCAATGTCCAAAAGTGCTGGCGAGAAAAGCAGGCTACTGACCTGTTAAACAATACTCGAGCTGCAGAATTTATCTCTCGTAAAACTGTAACTTCAAGACAATTTTTAAGAATTTTATTCACTATGCTGGCCTCATGCTCGATGCTCTGACTGTGGCATTATTCTCAAAATCATACCAGTACAATTAGACCAGAGTACTTAGGCAACTCGTGGCAATTTTGAGCGTTCTCTGCGCAGTTATGAATGTTCTCTGGTCAGTACTTTTATAATGTTTTTAGTTGTGTACAACATTTTCAAACTCTCTTACGACACAAGGTCTTAGACCTCTGGGATAAAAATACCACCACCAGAAAAGAAACATTTTGCCCCACTTCACTCGGTGTCATTTTGAATACTAGTTGCAAGGCACGCGGAAAGGTTGGTTTGAATTGCAAATATACTGCCGACATTAAATATTCATCTTACTTGTGTCAGGATCTTTACAAGTGGAGTTCGAGACTAAGCTAGCCTGCTGGCTTTAAAGCCTCAAATTGCAGTTTTTCGGTCAGACAACGCTTCTTTAAACATGTCCTAGACAGGGAGAATATCTGAAAGCGGAAGTTAAAATGTTTGGTGCCTTGTATGTTAATCTTTGGTGTGTAACGGTCCTCGCTCGCGGGTTGCAGTCATAGACGACAAGTCAACAGATTGAAACCACGAGAAGACAGAAGTTTGGACTTTTTTGAACTCATGTAAGTTATTTAGCTTCTTCTACTGTTCACAAAAAGCCGCTTACAATCACGATATGTTTTGAGGGGACATTAGCTCTCCTTCCCAATAATGTTGTTTTCATATGAAATGTTGCAGTCGCAAATACGTTTTACGTAGTTTTTGCTGCACTAGCCAGCCGTAGTCTTCGTAGTCTTCAAGTTATAACTTTTTCTTGGGTGGGGAGGGGGGATTGGAGACAAATTGATTAATATGTGTATGAAATGCTAACAATTATTAAAAAGCAAATCAAAGCTGAAAGAGGATTACTCTGACTCTCTGTGATGAGAGAATCGTGACCCGAATAGCATTGTGTTAAACGTTTAGGGAAATCCCCTTAAGGTGAACTCAGCCTTTGATTGGCTTGAACGATGTCATATTTTTTCGTTGAATTCTTTATCTTCCTCTGAAAGTGAAATTTCACACATTAACAGAGCTCAAGATAGAGAGGCTAGAAACTTTAGTTCAACGGTGTTATTAAACTGAACAGCATATGCCGTGTGATTTACCAGGAGACATTCCAGTATCTGAAAAACCCACGCAGGACCAACATTATCGCACACAGGGAAGGGCGCTGAACAAGAGTTAGTGGAGACCAGTTGTGGAATGGAAACTTTTCCTGCTACTGTTCTCGTTCGGTTATCTCAACGCGCCTCATTAATTATAATTCAAGAGGCAAAATTAATCTCAACCAAGACTGAATTGTTTTAGTTATGACCAACTTGCTTCATTAGCCACTTACTTTGCTTCAATGATTGGCATTTGGCTCATGATTTCTATAGTTTGATTTGACGTACGGCTGCCCTAAAAGTAATGATTTGTAAATGCATCTCCGCCATGATAGAGACGAGCGAGAATGGTGACTCCTTTGATTGACGAATCCCAGAAATTTCTCATCCCTGTAGACCCTGTTAATACCGGCAGTGTTTGTGTGTGAGATTACGATTTCCCCTTTAGTCTGATAGCGAACGTGATGTATTTAAGTACTGGAGGGGGGGGGGAAGGGGGGAGGGAGGAGGGGTGGGAGAATTCCAATGCGTTAGGAAATTCGAGTTAGATACAGTTGAGGGTTTTGCACAACTTTCGGTTTCCAACTTAAAAACGTTTGGTTATGATCATGATCATTGATGTTATCAAAAAGCCGTACGGAATCACGCTTCCGATAACCGGAAGTTAGAATCGGCCAATTGCAGACCATCAAGATCTAACAACAGTGTTTCAACTTTCGTCTTTTTCCCGGAAGCTTAGAATCAACCAATCAAGATACCACAAACAATAAGTGCGTATCAAGATACTCCAAACAAATAGCACGTATCAAGTGAAAATAAACTGCGATACACGAAGGCGAAAAGATGAGTGTGTCTCAAGATATTTGGATATATGTTTTGTCCGCTGCTATCGGTGGCATAATATCATTTCTGGTGTTAAATTTTTACAATTCGCCTCAGAATGAAGCGACAAGGAGGCCCAAGGTGCCAGTGGAACATGATGAAAGACAGGAATAGAAAAAGATACCTACTTTATATCCAGGTGAGTAGAGGCACTTTGTAGAGACGAAGGGGAAGAAAGAAAATTGATAAATTGTCGCATTCTAGTGTGTGACTAAGCTACCATGGTGCACACTGTCCTGAACCTCCTGACGTCAATCATATGGGAGTTTTGTCAAGTAGTTAGTCATTTCGCTGGCCAAACATTTGCGGCGTGGGGACGTGAAGAGTTAGGTGTGATTCCTTAAGATGTGGATATTGTTTCAAAGCCCTGGAATCAAAGCCATTCGTCTCTGAACATGTTCCACAGTTTCCTGATAATGAGATACCTTTTTATGAAAATGTATTCACTAAATTAATGGAAAAAAATCGAAATTTTATGAAAACGAGTTACGCACGAGGTCCTGAGAGATAAAGGACAAACTTATATGTAAATTTAAAACAGCACGAAACAGCTTAATTTCATTCGTGCATTGAATAGTTATGCCATGTATTGGTTAGTTAGTTGGGATTAAGCTATCATTTCAAGTTGGGTTCAGGCGGGACAGCTAAGTTTTATCCATGTTTTGATTAGTTACGCCGTCAAAAGAGACTTACAGAAGCTTTTGTTTACAGGAATTTACCATTTGATCATGGACTTACAACAGAGGAATGAACTGAATTTTTGGTGGCTGAATTGTGTTACACTCTATTGCGCACTCTATTTTAACAGGACAGTCTAAGTACCCAATGACTCAATGATATGTAAATATCTTTTAAATCGTGTAAACAATGTTTCTCATTAAGTTGTAGAATCAAGAAAGCAAATACAAAGCAAGTACATTAGAAAACCTGTCAGTCATAAAATTCTTCACGTCTTTTTCAGTCATTCTTTCCTTAAATGAAAATTGTTTTCAAAAAATTGTTATTGCACTTTGCACCGTAATATTTTATCGGTGACTTAATCACAGTCCACGTGATTTTCGTCCGTTCACATGGTTTTCAGTTAAAGCGGAGAGGGATCAGTACAAGGAGGTGGGGGGGGGGGGGGGCTAAAGAATCTTGACTTCCAATGAGGGGGTGGGGGAAATAAGGATGTTACACAGCCTTATGGGGGGATTAGGGAAATTTCATTATAACACAAAAAAATCCGCCCACTTCCCCCCTCCCAGGCAATAATACGACCATAGACAACCGTTGGTTATAATTTTAATGGGGCACCGTTAATGAAGTTGGTGGAATCCTCACTTCCCTTATTCCAACGATTACACTCAAAGGTTGAAGATTAATTATTATAGGTACATATATATTATATGTACCTGCTTTAAATACAACTTTTGCAAGTTGTATTCGGAGTTGACTTTAGTTTGCTCAATTTTAACGCACAACTTGTCCTTTACAATAAATACCGAAAGTTCAATTGCCGCTGTTTTGTGATCAGCGCCCAGCTACGCCGCGTGGAGCAAGCGAGTAAAGAGCTCACAGAAGCATTTCAGTCGTAATCATATCATGTGACGTGACCGGAAACGGCTACGAATGCGACTATGCATTCCATAGCTTCACAAGAATCTAGTTTTTAGAATAAATTATTATTGATGCTGCTTTTTGGGGCCGTCATTCGGGAATATATTTATCTTTGTTACGTAGCGTTTTTGTTCTGTAGATGCTTGGGGCTTTCTGTTAAAAAGGGATTACATTCAATGACACGAATGAAGTAACACAACATGATCCTTGAGCATTAAGCCCCATTTAACTGACAGATCAGTTGATTCTTTTGCCTTTTCTGTGTCTCTTTATTTGTGTGATTTCCGAGACACAAGTTGCCAGGTTTCCTCTTGTGTAATCCGTTATTTAACTAAGGAGAGGGAAGAGTGCTCGTTTCATGTCATGGTTTTGTTTTTCAAGGTACACAGTTAATTATGGAGCGAAAAGTAGAAGTTGTGAGCGATTAGTGTTTGGACTTCAATACAGCGCAGGCAAATGTAGAGCAAAGAATTTGATTTTCCTGACTTGTATTAACAGATCATCGCAATCCTGTTAAGTTCATCC